CCCTTGATTGTGTTTTGCCCCCCCCCCCCGAATCCTGCACTGGCAGAGCAGGGCACCAGTGTGGCCCTGTGGTGGTAGAGGAAAGATGCTCTGGGCTTCTCAGTTTTGCTCTGCATCTTCCCGCGAAGAGGTCAGGGTACTGCAAGCAGTGGGACCATGCCAAGAACCAGCCCGGCAGCTGGAGGCCAGCACCAGTGCAGGAGCACCAGAGGCCTGGGATGATGTGAAGCATCTCATGCACCTGCCAAACATCCCTTATCCAGAGTGACAGCCACGTGGCAGCCCTCGTGCTCCTCTGCTCCCCTCCCGAAACGCTGCTCGCAAAGCTGGTGGGAGTCATGAGCTGGGTCTCCCTGCAGTCCCTTCTGCTCCATCCCCGAGGTTGCTCTGGGTCAGCGGGGACGCTGAGCCGCCCTTGTGCCATCCCCAGAGAGCCCTGAATGGGACTGGTGGGGCTAGGGTGGGACATTGGCCCTGCTGGATCACAGCTCACCTGCCCCAGACAGCAAGCTGCCCTGCTCTTCCCATACAGTCAATCGCTCAACCCCTCCAAACACTGCAGAGCCATGGCACTGAGCGTGCTCGACTGTCCCTGCCGGCAGGCTCTTCGGTGCCCCGGCTTCCTATGATCCAGGGCAGCATTTTAGCTTAATGCAGCTATTTTGTTATTTAATCCTGCCTGATTTTCCTTAACACCTTTCCAAATGTTTTAAGCTATCCTTTGTGGTGCTCATCCACTGTTTAATCTGAGATCAAATGATTGTATCTTAATCCCTGGATCTCAAATGAATTTGCCTTTGGTTTGGGCAGTTAAACGTCCAGCCCTCTGCTACAGCCAGGCTGCATTTATCCAGGGCAGGCAGAATCAGGAAAGGAGTAAAACGCCTTCTTCCTCTCCTTCCCTCACTATTTCTCTCTTTCTTGCAAGTTAATGCTACTTGAGCTGCACAAAATAGCTGATATCCCCCTGATTAATATTTCCAAATAATTTTATGTTTTTCCTTGTGATGAGCCACTGGAGCCTTCTTTTGTCAAACTACCTAAATGTGATCAAAACTGGTGCAATACTGTGCTTTTTGGGCGCACAGAGCAAGCTGACATGGAGCTAGTGTACAGGACAGCACCTGAACCCATTGTACAGTCTTCCTGGAGGACCCAGCCATGCTCTCAATGAGCAGTCCCCAGCAGCAACCTGGCACTGTGCTTTTCCCAAAGGACATGTGCACTTTGCTTTGGTGGTATTGGAGTGGCCACCTTTATTTTGACACGCTCGCCTGGCTCACGGGAGTGCGTTTCTCAGCTCAGCAAGGGGAGACCTGCAGTTGCTGAAATTCCTGTGGAGCAGCACAGCCCTCTGCAGTTCCTGAGAGCACTGAGACGAACGTGGGGACCCCCTCGACACAAGCCCTGCTGCCTCTCGACCAAGCGCAGAAGCAGGGCTGGGGCTGGTGGGTACCAGTCCCCGTGACCATGCCTTCCCCACATTCCTCTGCCTTCCCCATGCTCTCCTCTGTCACACAGAAAAGTATGGGGCAGGAGAACCTCTGAATCAGACCAGCATAAATCTGAAGATGACAGGACATTGATCTCAGCCCCATACTCTGGGTGCTGCTAAAACTTGGCTTCTTGTTTCATTGCGATTGCCCATGGCTATGTTGTGGGCCCCCTGCTCAGACACATACAAAGAGGCTTGGAGAAAGATTAAATGCCGTTTTTCTACAGTGTGTTCTAGATTTTATTGAGAGTAGATTAAATCTAATTAAATTCACACATTAATCCAGTCAGATTAAATGGCACATTCTGCTTTGTGTCCGTAGCTTGGCCCAGAGGCCAGACTGAACCTGGAAACACAGATGGCAGAACTGGTCCGGTCCTTCATGTCTAGACTCAGCCCTAAGCTGTTGATTAGATGCCAGAGATCGGATCCAGACAGTTTCATCAGTGTATTAAGGATTGTGCTCCAGGCCTGGTTCAGAGCAGAGCGTAGCAGTTATCCCAGCCCTGGAGGGTCCTGCTGCCCCAGGCACCCTCTCGTAAGCCCACAGGGCTATTGGGAGAAGCTCAGGTCCCCATCTGACCTGGGGTTTCCTGTGGCTGCTGTCACTGGGTCTCACTCCAGCTCCTGCCGACAGCTACCATGTCTTCGAGGTACCCGAGTCCTTGGCGAGGCAGCCCACGCTCGTCCAAAACTTCTCCTGAGCTGGGCAGGGTGGGCTGTGACCGCGTGGCTAAATTGCATCCAAACCCGTCCTGATGGAGCGATGGGCTGATGCAGCCTCATCCAAGGGTGTGTGTGGGACCCTGTGTTGGACGGGGTTTGCCTTCCAGGAAAGGACAATAAGAGCTGCAACTCAGCTTCTCTGGTGCTGTGGAAATTCACAGCAGAACCCCTCTTTTAAACTCATCTCTATGCAGCTAGTCTGGACTTGCATGGGAAGAAACCATGTGAAACCCTGGGAAGAAACCACCTGCCTCCTTGTGAGGACCTGTAAATCTCGCCCAGCAAAGCCAGAGTCATGTAGCTGCAAAGGATGCAAATAAACTGCTGTGTAATTAGCACCCTTTGTATGCCAGGGCAATCATACTCAACCCCACACACAACTAGGAGCCAGGTCTGCCTGCGCAGGGCTTAATGCAAAATACCCTCCCCAGGTGTAAAGCTGCACTGCTTCACTCAAATCAGTATCACACACTATGCTCCCCCATAAAAGAGGAGTTGGCTTGCGATATGAAACATCGGTTAAGCTGCAAGGACAAATATCCTTTTCTAAAAGCTACAGTCCGTGCTGATAGGAGTGTTCCCTAGCAAATACCCTCAGCACACTAAGGAATCAGTCTTATTTTATTACATTAAAGAATAAAACATCTACACAGCATTTTTCCTAGTGAGACTCTGAAATGACACTGATGCCTCTGTGAAGGTGGAGTACTTTCTCTCATCCCAAATTGTCTCTGGTAACCTGATCTTTGCATGCTGCACCATGCAGAAAAAACACTAGTAGCGCGGGCTGAAGCATGGTATCGCCAATCGCGTTGGCACCACTGGGGACTCCTTCCTTGAGCCAAGTGCCTTGCTATTTGTACCAGCAAAGCAGACACAGCTCTGTGCCTTGGAGGAGGCTGTATGGTTCAGGGGCTGGTGTGATTATCTCTGCAAGACATTTGAGGGGCATCACAGTGAGAGCTGGAGCAGTTCCTCTTTTTCTAGGACAAGAGGTTTGGGAACTAGAGTCTGGGGCTGTGGAAAGGTTCTTTCTCTGTGGTGGCCTTGATGGCCTAAGGAGCCATCAGGAAATGCCACCAAGGGGACCTGAACACCAGAGGTGCTTAGAGATGCCCAGGTCAGGTGAGAAAAAGCAGTTTAAAGCCTGTGTGGAAATGCATTTCACCATCCCGGCGTTTAACATGTGCGCATACTCCCCAGTAGCAGAGCTGGTCTCATTTTTAGAGAGGCAGCTCAAAATGCACTGCAGAGCAGGCAGCAGGTAGGCAGACACATCCTCCGGGTGAGGCTGGAGGCAGCATGCTGGGTGTAGACAGAGCCATCTCTGCAGTGGGGCAGCCCTGGGGTTTGCAGGTGTATTGGCACTCTCAGCAGCACTGCAGCCTCCACAGGAGTCAGTATCTAGCCCAGGCTTTAAAAGCAGCCTCATCTTGTTGTGCTCTTGCATAACAGTGAGATGGAAATCGCACAGGCCCAAATCATAGGAGTCCGTTTGAGCAAATGCTTGCACATGAAAGCTTCAGCTGGCTATAGAGCTTCATTCCCAGGAGCAGAAGAAAACCACTTAGCCATTTAATCCTTCGAAGGCTTTGATCACCCTGATACAGGAAGACAGGGCAGGACGGGGGAGACGGCTGCCATTCCCACCTGTGAGACTGCCACCTCTATGGGAAGGCTGCATACCACCACCCCAGAGAGCCCCACTAACACGTACCACGCAGGCATGGGGGGCTCCAGAGTCTGCCCATTGCCCCTCCCCGGACTGCGCCACAGCCCCTCGATTTAAACCCTTAATGCTGGGGAGATTGTGCAATAGCTGCTTCAGGCTGAGAATGGATTATGCCCCTTTCAAAGGTATTTGGCACCGGGCTGCAGTGGGAGAGCCCAGTAAACTAGCCCAACCCCTCCTGTGAAAGCACCTGCGGGCAATTCCTGCAGCTGGTGCCTAGCAACATGCTCTGAGCTGCTCTGACAGCAGCTAAAATTCAATGTTATTTCATCCCTCCTCCCCAGAAGAGCAGCTCTTGAGTCATCACCAGGGCAGAATGGGACGGGTCTCCCACTCGGCTTGCTAAAAATGAGTGGTATGCAAGGGGCTGCTCTCTGTGTCTTGAGCATGTGTGCTGCTGCCAGCTAAAAAGGCATGTCCTCTCAGCATGTGGGACAGCTGCAGGTTCAGGAGATTTGGTAAATTGTTTTTTCCCTTCCTTCCCAATCTGCTTTCCGCTCCCAACAGCCTCTCTGCTTCCTGGGAGCTCTCTACTGGGAAGCCTGCAGGAGAACCAGGTTTGGATCCCTGCTGAGTCCCACCTTGGCTTTGCTTGGGCAAGCCCCAGGTCGTGCAAAGACACACAGGTAGCTACAAGCTTGGGGTTGCGCTGGGCACTCTCTAGTGACACACGGCAACCTTTAGGTCACCTTTGTGACAGATGAAGGCACCCCTGAATCTAAGGGAGGTGCTCTTGGGGAATGGTGAACATCAGAAAAAATGCATATGAAACCAAGCGTGCCTCTTTATGGAGCTGAGATCCTCGCAGAGGTGGTGAGGCAAACACCAGCCAGCCTGGGCAGGGCTAAGCAGCGTGTTTCTGCATGTGGGCAGGGCGCAGGGATTGGTGATGGGAAGAGGGAGTCAACGGGAGGATCCAGCGCAGAGAGGGCAGGGGCTCGGTGGGCAGCACAGCCTCCAGTCCCTGCTGGCACTGTGCAGAGGGGAGGAGGGCTCCAACTGGAAGAGGTGGGAAGCTGTGAGTAGGTGAAGCCTATGAGTAGGACCATGGTGCCGCAGCCTGGGTGCTTCTCAGAGAAAAGTGAGATGAGGTGCCTTGCAGGGCTTTTCCAAACTCTCGGAGGGCACGTATTTGCCTCTGGGAGCAAGCTGGAGATCCAGGCGGATTTCCCAGTGGGAGACTGTTGGGAAATCTCAGGCTTGCCCGAGTGATGCAGCTCCCTTGGTGGTGTCTGGTGGGAGGGCAGCTGACCACCATCTGCCCTGGCTGTTCGTAGTGCCAGTGTTGGTTCACCACTGCAGGGCTGCACCCCTCCTCGCCTCCCCAGTCTTCTCTCTTGAGAAGCCCTGGGTGGCCCTAGGGATGGCAGCCAAGGGGTTGGAGGCACCTTATTGCTGCGGACGGTGGGGGCTGCCAGGAGAACCACCTTTATCTCATGGCTGCTTGTCCTCAGCTCCTAGCTGCCTGCAGTGCTGCGTAGCCTGGAGAGAAGACTGACGCCTTGTCACTAGCTTGGACTCTGCAGCCTGAAGCAGATGAGGAAAGACGTTGGTAAGTGCGGTACCACCAACAGAGACCTCTCCAGCTCATCCCAGGACCCTCAGCCCTTCAGGATGGGGCGTTACTCTGTTCCCCAGCCCAGGAGTGGTGTTCAGCATGCTTCAGGTGGGTGTTTGGCTTATGGATTTGTCATCATGCAGGTCACCTTAAACGAAGCCAGCAGCATTGCACAGTTTAGCTGACAGGGATCGAGAAGCATTTTATACAGAAAGGCATAAAGAACCTGAGTCTGATCTGGCTTCTTCTAGTGTCCAGTGGGTGACTCTGCCTGCATGGGTCTGGAACTGTTCTGTCTCCTGCCGTGGCACGCTGCCTGAAGGCCAGGAGACATTGTGGTGGATCTGTTTCCCTTCCAGCTGTGGGAGGGGACAACTTACCCAGCAGGGTGGCTGAGCAGCCTTTGCCTTGGGCAGAGATGGCTCATTGCGCTGATGACACTGGTTGTGTCGACTGGCCCAACGTGGGCTGGGGACAAGCTTGGGACAGCAGTTTTTTAAACCAGCATGTCCAAATCCAGGAGAAGATGCTGTCTGTAGCTCAAAACTGTGCCTTTGCTGGTTGAGGGGACTATTGGCCCAACCTGCACTTGCGAGTTAGACGTGTCCTCCTGCTCCTGCGGTCCCTTTCCACCACAGCCTGCCAGTGGTTTGCATAGTTGCTCCCACGCTCCCTTCAGGCTAAATCCACAGCTAGCTTAAGCAGTTTCAGTGCTAACTCCTTGCATAGCCTGGCTCAGAGGAAAGTGGCATGGAGCTGGGAGTGTGGTGGAGATGGGGCCCTTTGCAGCCAGCGGATGACATGTTGACAGTAAAATCCTCAGCTCAGAAAATGTCTCCTTCCTTCCTGCAAACGTGAAAGGACAGAATTAAAGTTGAGCTTTCTGACCTCCAAGTTCTTGACTTCTGTTCTCACGTTACAGCAGCAGCAAATCCTGTTGCACGGAGCAGAAATCTATCTGTCTGTATATGCGCTATTTCAAACTTCTCCGCGTAAACTGTTCCAGACTTGATCAGAAACCAAGCCTGTTTACTAACAACAGAACTGGGAAACTTCTTTAGTATCGTGGGTTTTTTTCCCAGTTTAGTTTTCTTACTGAGCTGCTGAAGCTTAAGTCTGTCAGTTAACAGTGTTTCTAGCTTTCGATGTGTTTTACTTCAACGTATTTTCCTTTGCATCTCTGAAATACCTCTGTATGCAGAGTGTGCTCTGCCTTCTTTCTGATGTCAGGAAAGGTTTTCCTCTTGACTTACTAGGGATGAGATTAGGACAGGCAATGGCACACTCATTTTCCCCAAATAAGTAGAGGGTGTTAAACTGCAAAAGGCCAATGGCAATGTTTTTTCCTAGCATGTATACCAAGACTTCTGCACAAAGGGGTTGAATCCTGCTTCCATTTATGCTGATGTAGATCTAGAATAATAAAGTTCCTGACAGTTTTACAGCATTGCATATTTTATTATTCCAAGTAGCATAACTAGAATTGAATATATATTAGTTTGATCATTGCATCCCTCTGCAGTTCTCACTTGCTGTGGTTGCAGCACCTTTTAGACATTTTAATGTCTTTTTGATGTGTTTTAGACATTAAACTCTCCGAGGCAAGGACTGCCACTGTAAGCACAGCACCAAGTTTAATGGACCCCAATGTCAGGAAGACCCTTCTGTGCTACCTCAGTAGTAAAGGACCGAAAGTGGGGTTTCGAGAAGGTTTCTAAAGCATTTCCAAGTGCCACGACAGCCTGTTGGTTTTTGCTTTCAGGATCTCTTCCGAGCTTTCCCTCCACCTCTGTTTAGACAGAGCCAAACTCTGCTTGTTTTTTAGATTGCTGTCACTCAAAAAGTTGCAGCTCCAGGACCAAGTAAGTTAGCATAGCTCAGGACTTTGAGAAAATTGGTTTCTACAGAGAGCATTACCACGGTGAGGTGGCTTTTTGCAAAGCTGTTGCCCACTTCACATGCTGATTTATCAGACAAATATGTTGTCTTGACAAGGTCACACCGACCAACTTGATTGTGAAGGTTTACGTGACCTTTAGCAATAGGAAGCCTCACAGACCTAAAACCTTTGTGCAGTAAAGGCAGCTAGCTTTAAGAGTTGGCCTTTTAAAAGGACGCAGGAAGGTCAGTTTGGGTTTAGAGGAACAAGACTCTTGCAAAACCCAGTAACAGCAGGAATGTTTGGTCCCTTGGGGACATGTGTGGCTTGTTCTGATTTACAGCCGTCCTTTTGTGTGTTTCCAGCCCAAAAGCAGCAGCAGTGCCACAGCGAGCGAGACCTCCAGAGCGAGGAGCTGGCGTTACTGCCAGAAACACAGAGCGCTTGGGTCGCTTTCCCGGCTGTCCTGGTGGCCCAACAGAGGTGGAAAAGGAGAAGCGAGGGCCCGGCTGGACAGCGGTGCGGCACAGATAGAGATGGACGCCATCAGTGAGCCTTCAGTGATGGGCCTGGTGGCACGCAGGCGGCAGGCTGTGTTTTCTACCTGAGCGAGCTGTGCTGGGAGCAGTGGGCGGATGACTGGGAGCGGCGGGCCGATGAGGGCTGATGAGGAGTGAGGGATCCCCGAGGGACGCTGGCCCTGAGGTCTTTCCCGCAGCCCTCGGGGTCTCCTCACCTGCCGCGCCACCTTTCATCCCTTTGCCCGAAACACGTCCCTGCCGCCCAAAAGCGCTGGAGCCCTGCGCCCTCCGCGTTTTACTCGACGGCGGGGCGCAGGGCTGTGAAGGGGGCTCTCTGTATGTGTTTGTGTATCTCTCCCGCAGCAGCGAGAGGGCCTCCCCCCGCCTCCCGCGCCGCCTGGGGCTTCGCCGATCCCCTCAGGCGGAGGGGAGGCTCCCTCCCGGTGCAGGCGGGGGACTCCCGTCTCCTCTCCCCGGGGCCGCGGCCCCCATCACCCCGGCACCGGGCGGGGAGGCGGGCGCGGGCCGAGAGCGACGGCGCATGCGCCGCCCTGGGATTGAGGGGGAGGAGGAGGGGCGGGTCGCGGGCCGCGCGTGCGCCGCTCC